AGCCCCCCCGCGGCTTTGACCTCCCCAGCGCCGGCTTCGAAGAAGGTAACCCTAACTTCCTGCCCACAGCCGCCGTCCCAGACGCAAGCAGTGAAGTCATCGTCTCACCGACCTCTGACCGCCTCGCTCTCCTCGAGCCCTTCGCTCCCTTCCCCGAGGGCGATCTCTCAGGTCTCCAGGTCCTGTACAAGGTCAAGGGCCAGTGCACGACGGACACAATCTCGGCCGCAGGCCCATGGCTCAAGTACAAGGGCCACCTTCCCAACATCTCCGCGAACACTCTGATCGGCGCCGTCAACGCCGCAACTGGCGAGACGAATGTCGCCTACGATGAAGCCGGCAAGAAGTACGGAATCCCGGAGCTAGCGGAGGCCTGGAAGGAGCGCGGAATTTCGTGGCTCGTTGTTGCAGAGGATAATTACGGCGAGGGATCTGCGCGTGAGCACGCTGCACTTCAGCCGCGCTACCTCGGCGGCCGGGTCATTGTTTCTAAGAGCTTTGCCCGCATCCACGAGACGAACCTTAAGAAGCAGGGTGTTGTGCCTCTTACATTTGCGAACCGGGTGGACTATGATCGTATTGATGCCTGTGACAAGGTTGATACCGTTGGTCTTTATGATGTGCTGCAGGCTGGTGGACAAGGCGAGATTAAGCTGCGTGTTACTAAGCTGAAGACTGGGGAGGTGTTTGATGTTCCGGTTCAGCACACTTTCAGTAAGGATCAGTGTGCATTCATCCTTGCTGGTAGTGCTCTGAACTTGTTGGCCAAGAAGGCTTCCTCTTGAAGAGGGAGAGTGGAGCAGATGGAAATGGGTGCCAGACTGGTTTGACACCATAAAAATAGGTTGTTGGGTTCGATCTGGAGTTGATGATTTGGGTGGATTGCATTATAGTAGTCCCTCACCTTGTATATGGTGAATTTTGGTGGTTTTAGATTTGTTTTGCTGACTAGATGATATCCAATGTGATCTGTATTCTACCGTTTCTTGATTCAGGGGCGTAAGTGGCGCAAGATGAAATTGGTAGAGTAATCAAAAAGTACTAGGCCAAGAGAGCCAAGTCATCTGATGGGGTTCAATCCATTCATCGCATGTCATGGTATATAGTTTTGAAGCTGTGACATCAAACCGAGACAGAAGTCATGATAGAAGAAGAGAGAGAAAAGAAGAGAAGCAGCTGGGCATGAAATAAGCATGAGAATATCATAAAGAAAAAGCATCGTGGTGCCTGGTTCTTTCAAAAGCAGTGGGATGGATAGGACAGTGACTGCCTCGAAGGAGAAGTCGATAGCCAAAGAGAATAAGAATGAAACAAAAAAGACCAAAAGATGGCATAATGAACACCGATATCTAGAGGCGAGAAAACGCAAAAGCAAAACACCAAGACAATCATATCGCCTGATTGCCAGCTTTCAGGGATCCGTAGACATCCCCGAGAGCATCCTATATCTCAACGCCAACAAGCCGTTCTATACAGACGGAATTGAGAACAAAAGAACCGGCTGTATGCAGGTGGATTGCATAATGCAATATCCTTTTTGAAACCTGAAACAGGGAGAGAGAAAAGGAAGAGAGAAAGAGGTAGGGAACAGATAAAAGCAAAACATACCAGTGTCATCCAGTCCACTTTTGATCAGAGTAGCCTTGGTTCCCAGAATTGACCCCCAACATCTGACCAGAATTGTTGACACCGTACATACTCCCCTGGTTATTACCATAGCCACCACCCATCCCCGAATCATCCTCATCAATGCCAAACTCCCCACCGGAGCTAGCATCAAAGCTACTCCGCCCTCCAATATCACCCGGATCATCACCCACAGCCGAAATCTGGTCCCACTGCAATGTCTGCAGAGCCGGGTATTGCGCCAGAAGAGCAGCAGGAAGAACAAAGTTGCCCGTTGATTGCCCATCCATGCCGGGCATGTTGGGCATAACGAGAGGCTGGGGAATTGGCTGGAGATGGCTAGTTGGTGATTGTTGCTGTTGCTGCTGCTGCTGCTCTAGCAAGACGCGGTCACGTTCCTGCGACTCCTCGTCCAGAAGAGGCTTGATGCACACCCGGCCTGCCTCGGAGCGGAAGTGGCGGCCCAGAGCGTCTGCACGAGCGAAGCGGCGGCCGCAGCCCCATTGTCCGCTTCGCGAGAGCTCGCCGCGGCAGACGAATTTCTTTTCGCCAGAATGGAGGCCTTCGTGCCGTTTGCGGTCGTGTTGCCGAGCAAAGGCTTTGCCGCACACTGTGCACACGAATGGTCGTTCATCGGTGTGCGTGCGGAGATGGGATCGCAGATTGTATGCGCGGGTAAACCGTTTCGGACATAGGGTGCACTGGAAGGTAGCTGGGTGTTTCTGGATTCGTTTCGGCTCTCCGGGTGCTGCTCCGGGTCTTTGTGGATCGGCAAGATCCAGAATGTAGTTCCGATTCTCGATTGATGAGGTGGAGAGTCGTCGGTTTGATCGTGAAGGCGAGGGATCTCGTGAGCTGGGGCTACTGCGCGAGTGAGAGCCAACCGATCCAGCGGGTGACAAGGATCGTGGGGTGACAGACACGCGGGGTTCCAGACTTGTTGCTAAACTTGCAGGAGAACGTGGGCGGGAAGCAGGGTGATAAGGATCAGATTTACTACGAACACGGGATCCTAAGTTCTCGTTAGTGTAATATCAACCAAACCGGTTGTAAATCAACACTTACGCATAGCGGGAGGGCTCAATGAGTCGAAATCTGCCGTTGATTTGGATGTATCGAAGTTTGGATTCCGCAATGGCGGGGCAAACTCAACGTTGATCGAAGGAGGAGCCATCTGTGAAGCTTGACCAATGTCGCCCGGAACATTGTTTAAATGTCTCATGTTCATCACATCCTCTTCGGGTATTCCGTACATGTCTGTCGGCGCCGAGGGGAATTGGGTGAGATACGAATTATTTGGCACCATCTCCCTCCCTTGCTTTGGCATCAACTGCGGAGAGATATAAGGGCTGTGGAGCGGACTGATCCCCTGCTGATGCTGCTCTGACAACGTGAATGATTCCATGCCGAGGCCATTGTCGTAAAGACTTGGATCACTTTGGGGAGCCAAAGAAGGCGACGCGTTGTTCTCAATGCTATCGAATTCGTGCTGAGACAAATACGGAGAGTGGTTGGCCGAGGATACCTCGGATACTTCAGACGGTGCACGTCGATGGCCCTGGAAGGAAACATTATTCATAACTGACTGCCAGTCTGGACCTGGCTGGGCGGTCAAATATGCCGCAGTAGCCGGGTCGAGGGAAGTGTGTCGTGAATGCCGAGGGGTATAGTATGCACTGGGTGTGGATCCTGGAGGAGACATGGGGCCAGGCGAGGAATGCTGCTGATCTTGCGACGATGGATGCGATGGTAATGAAGGGTTAGAGATGGGGCTGACTAGATCAGCGGGGTTGATCGCTTGGTTGATTGACTGGCGCTGGTGCATTTGCGGGTCTAGCAATAAGGAAGAATCATACTCGGGGGTAGAAGCGCTGTTGGGGCTGTGATTCTGATAGAGAGAAAAGTCCAATTCCGAGTGATTGGAATTGAGCATACTGGAGAAGTTCTCTTCGCCCTGCATCGATCTGAGTCCTGTCGAAGAGTGCTCAAGCTGATTGACCAGGCTTGTCTCGAAGGACTGCGATATCGGAATGTTATTGGTATTGATGCTTGGAGCAAATCTCTGGTCCGTCGGCGATAATGCCTGACTCGAGGGCGTCCCAGCAAGGTAGCTTGGGTACCCATATGCTTCAGCACCACCAATGCTACCGTCGGGGTTGTGAAAGGAGGAGGTTGTCGAATAAGCAGCCATGGAGGGGTCAACTCCTAAACCACCTAAGTTGGTGTCATGGTATTGTTGGCCGTGCAACGAAGGGCTCATGCTCCGATTCTTGATATCACCCTGGCAGTAGGCTGTACCGTTGTTCTGGTCATGCGAGGCCATGTTTGCGAATGCGCGCGGCTGTGGGCTCTTTTACGAGCGCCAAGCTGGAGCTTTTATCAGGGACGAGGGGTGGAGTTCGAATCGGATATAGCGCAGATCTTTAGCGACAGGGCAGATTAGGCAAGCAAATCTGCCAGGGTCGTGGACGCCTAGTGATGTAGGGAGAATGGTGTCTGACGATTTGGTGGGATGTCATTCGCAAGGGTCAGGGTAGGGTCCAGTACACGAATGAGAGCCTCTGAACTAGTTGTCAGCGGTCGCCAGATTGCCTCATCATCCCTGAGAGCAATGATACCTTAAATTTGAAAAGAGGTCCGCAATGAAAGAGTAAATGAGGGAGGAGTTGAAGGATAGGCGTCTTCACGTGCGCAAGGCGGTCTAGGTTAAACACGCGTGTGTTGTCCATGCGAAGTTGACTTTGGAGTTAAACTGATGATATTTTTAATGCCTGATATTCCCATACAATTCTCTTCTTACTCCTACATTTCCCCCATCTTATTCCCCTGTGGGTGCCTAAGCTTAAAGAGACAGAGAAAGAGTTCCCACCTCCTTCTATAACTCCGTCCAAGTTCCTGCAAAAGAACCCCAAATGGGTCTCTCCCCACATTGGCATTATCAGTGTCCACTCTGATAACAGATAGGCGAACACAGACTATTTTTATATACAGATGCATGTTCTTGTAAATTCAATTGAAGAAGAAAAAAAGTGCTGCCTGTCGAATCTACAAAATTTTAGGCCGTGAAGCACTTCATCTCCCAAAGTGGAGGTGTTCAACGCTAAAAAGAACTTGGCCTTAGCTTTTGCACAGCCACCCAGCTGAGGCCCATTGACGCTAGTCCTATTTAGGCACAACGGATATAAACTATTGGCCAAGGCATACTTCAACAGTCTGCCTTGTCGATACTTTGTACTGCGATTCAAAAATTTCTGATTGTTGCCTAATTAAATATAAATTGCCATAGTATTTGATTCGATCTATCGAATCAGGTGACAGGGCTAAAACCTTGTATAATTCATCACTTGGATGGGATCCCGATGTCGATGAAATTCTCACAGACTACCCAAGGTATTCAGACTAGCCCTAGCCTGATCATTCGTCCAAGAGAAGAACAAGTTATCATCGCAACTGCTTCCAAGTCCAGCATTATCAACCCAAGCAGGTTCCCAGTAAAAGACACCCAACCCACCAACAGACTCCACAACGTTACCAAGTCTCTGAAGGAAAGTCTGCTGTCCAGCAACCGAGAACGGAATGTCCTTAAGATCCCACGGGAAGGGGAACTCAGGATTGGGACAAGAAACCGGCCAGTTCGTTTCAACAACTAGCGTCTCCTTCTTGAACGTCGAGTGCAGGTTCGCAAGACTCGTCTTCAGCGAAGCAAGCGACGCATCCTCGGAGAAGAAGGGATAGTAAGAGACACCAATGTAGTCAAAGTCCGTGGAGAGGAGTGCAGATCCGGATGCCAGGACTTGATCGTAGAAGTACCTCTGAGAGCCCCAGTCCCAGCCATTGTCGAGGTGGATCAAGATCTTGGGAGTGGTTGCCAGCTTGGAGTCTTTAACACCCCACGCGGCGGAGTGCAGAATCCGTGCAATGTTGCTGTAGCTGCTTGTTCCTCCCAGGGGCCATAGCAGGCCGTTGCGGATTTCGTTACCGATGGAGACGATCTCCACATCGAGATGATTGGCCGCAAACGTGTTGCATACGTGCAGGGTGTAGTCGTACACTTGTCCAGCCAGGACTCCAATGTCCGTTTTCGACCAGCCCGAGGGAGCGCTCTAAAGAAGTAGGTCAGCTCTTAGATCAAACACTCTGCGTGGGGGGGAGGGACGGAGGGGTTATTTTCTTACCTGTTCACTTGGATCCGCCCAGTAATCACTGTAATGCAAGTCGAGATACGTGCCCATCCCCTGTGCCTGTATCCTCTTTGCGAGCTTAACGTTATAGTCCAGGTTATACGATCCATCGCTGGGATTCACCCAGAAGCGTTGGCGAACAGTGTTGACGCCGCTGGCCGAGAGGATGGTTTCCAGCCTTTCTGGTGTGCCGGCGAGGTTCTTGTAAGAGATCCCTTTACCTTCCTCGATGAGGAGGGAAGAGACATCCGCTCCTCTGTAGGTTAATGCGGCGGATGTTGAGGCGAAGAGCTGAGTGGCAGCTAGGAAGAGGTAGGGAAGCATGATGGGCAACCACTTCTTAGAGCCGAGCAAAGTCAATTCAGATCGATGGCCCTGTGAAGCAGAAAGAAGCTGTTTGGTTGTAGAGACTGGGCTGCTTTTGTTCTATCTACTCTCCTACATGGCACTTTCTGGTGTTTATATAGGATTGAGTTTCAAATTTCTCCGAATATTCCCACCATTACGTCTCGCACTTGACTGGAAGGAGATATTTTTCCGGACTACAACCAGGAATCTTCCGCGGTAAAACTGGCGGTGAGACATGGAAATTAACGATCTGTATGCATAATTGGGCCTTGAAGGTTCAGATACTGTGGCCAAGGTTAGGCTATCAGCGCAGGAAGACTCATGGAGATTAAATTATATGATCTTCATTAGTCCAACCATACCACGTATTCAGCTTTCTTGGTCTAAAACCTCACACTTAAATACGGCTAATCTTTACAATATTAACTAACACAATCATCTATCCTATATTTACTCACTGTTAATGAAACTGTCAATGGATTACTCTGTTTACTTTACCTCCACAACGTAGAGTAAAGAGAATTTCTATCTACAGCAAAAACTGGTTATAACGATATCTTTCCTTTGTCTATGAAATTTGTTATTAAAAGGGCTTACGGTAGTATTAAGAGTGGTAGTTAGATCTTAACCGGTGATATCTCAGAACCTAGGGTGTATATTCTAAAGCATATATTGATAATAACAATGCATGTACAGAATGTATAGGGAATTGATAGCAAGTTTGGGGCTGGACCGGTTGGTCAGGCGAGGTCATAGTGGTAACAGGAAGCAACGGATAGTATTCTTCATCCAAAGACTAATTCTTGTCACGAGCAAGTTCTTCCTCCAAGGCTGATCCTTCATGGATACCCCCTATTCGCGTATATCACGATGATGCTTCTTTGGGTGCTCTGAGCTACTAACGGAAATGGAGTGTTCAACATTGAATAAACCCTAGACTCTGAGAAGCAAAGGGTATCCTCCAACAGAAGATCTGCAACAAAGGATCATGCAACAGAGGATCCTGCAACAGAGGATCCTGAAGCACCAATTAGGGTTCAAGACTGCAAGGGCAGAATTGCACCGGGAATCATCCTTTACAATCTAATAATATAAAACAATTTAAACTATTTGTTCACAATTTTTAATGCTATATTAATACAATGTTGATACAATAATTATTACAATATATAGACGTTCCTTCCTTACCACTATTAAATCCTTAATATAATTAAAGCTCCTTCTCTGCTGATCCTACTACCCCTTTCATGGTAGAAAAATTTATGAACGCTGCTATAGATTGTGTTGTAATTATGAAGAAACTCAAGAAGAAGATAGGTGGATTAAATAAAAGTCAAAACAAAGATTGACAGCTAACTAGTCAGGTTGGTTAACCAGTTAACCATCATCAGGTGATTATATAATCTACCAAATGGGAGTCTCCCCCCGTAAGGGTATGTAAGCAATGTTGCCAAGTCTCCCGGAACCTTTTTTTGAGTCTCCCCGAACTGGAAACTGGCTAAGGTTGCAATCCATTGAGATTATCATTGGTGGAAGTACGGAGTAGAATGTTGGAATTTCAAAGTGAGACATGGAGTATAAAACCCCACGAGAAACTCCCACTGGAGGAATTGAAAGGATTGTTCCGTCTATGACGAGATATGGCATGCAATCTAAATACGGAGTATTCTACAATGGATGAGAAACAGGTTGATCTCAGGGGGATAGAATCAAAAGTCCCCAAGCCCCAAATGTTTCATTTCTTCATCACACGCTAGCGCTTCCCAGCATCATATATCAGTCATGTCGCAATTGCCCAAATTCCCCAAGAGACACAGACTCTGTAGGTCCTTGAAGATCAAGGAATCCAAAATCTGGCCCTAAAACCCAATCTTCCGGTTTTGACAAAGTCAACATTACATACAGTTAAAAAAAACCGTTCTGGCCCTTCATCCATGCATAAGACAAAGAGAGAAGAACAAAAAGAATAAGAAGAAGAAAACACTGAAATGCACTGCGGGATTCATAGTCACAGACACTGAACTCAACAGAACAGAAACAGAAACAGAAACAGAAACGCAGACGGGGCTGGTCGGAGGCACCGGGGAAATCTTCGCAAGGAGGTATCAATGGATGACCATGCGAGTTCAGGTATATGTACAGACCATGTAGAATGTATGGAACAATTTCTAGGAACAATTTCCATATATCAGCCTGCCGGGAACCGGAATGGAAAGAGAATCAGAACGATATTCGGTGATATACAACAACTTCACTAGGTATTATTAGGAAGCGTCGAGGGATGGAGAAAGCGTTGGTAGATCGTATGGGACTGGTAAAGGTGGTGTGGCAGGCGGATCAAATGTTCAAAAGGGGGACTGGACGGACTGGACTGATCGGGACCGGCCACATTTCAGTTCGATAGCTAGGACGGAATGTCCGATGGAGCAGCCTTGGGAGGCGGCTTGCGTTTTCCAATCACAAGGCCTTCATCTTCCGACTCATCCTCGTCCTCGTCATCGCAGTAGTATCTCGACTCGTCCTCTTCGGACGACCGGGGCGAGTTCGGACGAGGGGGTTTGAGTGTCTCTCCGGTTCGGAGCATGGAGGGCACTTCGGCCAAGTCATTGCCCTTGACCGAGTAACCATCACCGGAAAGAGACGATGCGTTGGAGACGACCGACGGAATGCTAGGGTGGGAGGCACTCTGGGACATGCCACTGGTGAAGTCGTCAGCAGAAGATGAAGAGATGGTAGCCGAGGTGGAGGCGGCCAGCCGATTGTTGGTGTTGTCGGGACATCCTTGATTGCTAGGTGGATTGACGGGCGGCAGGAGGAGCGATTCAGTAGAATACATCGCATAATCAACTCTTAAGGTACCGCCTTCGTTTGCCTCGATGTCGCTCCGCCTACGGCGTAGGAGTGCATCCCTTGTGAGGTTAAGAGATTCTGCAGGTGATGCATCCTCGAGACGCGAAGATCGCTTGCACCGGTTTGCGTGACCAGGGGCCACTTGATCGGCAGAAGGGTGTTCCTCCTCATGCCACAGGCCGGGGATCCGCACTTGACCATGAGCCGATGCACTGCTAACAGCAATGCTAGGCTCAGCAGAGCGATTTTCTCCATCTCCATGCAGAGATCCTGAATCGCCAGACGGAGAAGTGCGCCGACTGCGACTGCCTCGTGATGCCCTTCGAGCAGCACCGCTGAAAAGACTACCGAGATTGGCCGGTCCTAGGGCCTCGATGATGGAAAGTGGCCGAACAGTTGATGGGACATCGAAGCTGGATGGTTTGGCCGTCTTTGTGGATTCTGCTGTAGATATTGAAGACTTTGCGCGACGAGGAGGACCAGGTCGGGGTGTCACGGTAGGAGGTGGAGTGGCGAGCTTGGTCGCAGCCGCAAGGTTTGCTGCAGCTGGTTGCACGGCATCGAAATAAGATGCCCAGTCGCCTTCGTCCACCGGGCTTGCAGTAACGCTCTGGGCGAGGGGGTGTCCTTGATTGCCAAATTTGAGTGGCCGGAATAATTCCTCGTCCCCTCGCAAACTGGACCGGCGGCTGTCGCGGGAGGTTTTCCCGAATGTGCTGTTACTTGAGGCAGAGGACAGTGTCTCAGTAGACGGTGTTGTGCTTGATGTGCGCTTCCGGTGTTCCTTGTCCTTCGATCGACCGCTGCCGAACCATTTGGCGACATTAGACCGAACCCGCTGAATGAATGGGACTTTGCTGACAGCGCTTGTGACTTCTTCATTCGAGACCTCAATTCGCTTCCCCTTACTTTGATAGCCAGGGTCAGTCTCCTCAATCCAAATTCGAGGGTTGGGAAGACCATGGTGTGTCCAAGGGTGGTGTTTAATCTCTTTCAAGGTGATTCTCTTGATCGGGTCTTTGGTTAACAGACGCATGAGTAGATCGTATAGCTCATCGTCGATATCCTCATAGACAAGCTCATCATCATTTCTCAGATTCCACTGATTGGAGTCGGACGCCTCATCCATCACGGGCACAAGGCGCTTCCGTGGAATGAAGACTTCCTTCTTAACGATAGTCTGGAACATGCTGTACCCGTCATCCGAAACAAATGGTAGGCGACCAAAAATCATTCCATACAATGTGACACCGAGCGACCAAACGTCGACCGCACCAGTAATCTTGGGGATCGACCCAATGGTTTCCACAAAGTCATCGCCAGTGTAACATAACTCGGGGGCATAGAAAGCCGGAGTGCCAACGGTCTTGGACAATTCACGGGCATCGTCTAACTCCGTCGCATCGGTCTCACCCACCTGCTCTTCTTCCTCTTCCCGCATTGGGCGCCCCAGGTAGGAAACACCGAAATCAGAGATCTTCACCCGATGATCGCTGGTGACGAGCAAATTGGCTGGTTTGATATCCCGGTGGATTATGCCCTGGTAGTGGAGGTACTCTAAGCCAAGAACCGAGTCCCGGAATGCGCTGCGGGTTTCAGCGATAGTCAAACAAGGAACGAAGGCCATGTCATCGCCCTCTGCAGACCACTCAGGTTCAGAGGGGGCGTAACCAAAGCTACTAGAGGTTGTGCTGGAACGTCGTTCGAACGGGTAATCTGAGTAGGAGCCGTACATGCTTCCCTCGACGGCATTTACAGACGGGTCATGGGAAGAGGATGGGCTTGAGTCATCTGTTACTGCAACAGAACGGCTAGATGATCTCCTGATAGGAAGACCGCCCTCGTCATCCTCCTCGTCGGAAGATTCCGCACCGTGCTCCAAGCTCCAAGCGGGAATCGGCCCTTGCTGGGCATCCGCAGCCTGCGCTTCAATCCGCTCACGAGCCCTTTCGCGTTGCCGCCGCAGGTGCTGCGCAGTTCGAATGAATTGGTGGCTCTCTTCCAAGAACGCAGGGGTGTCTGGGATTCCATTCTTTTCCCGCTCAAGACGTAGCTTGTCGACGTGGACAATTTCTCGTAGACCCTTCTTGCGCCAAACAATCTCGCCATTTTCAACATATTCTAGCACTATGTATACCTTTTGTCGATTCGGATCATCGATGACTTCGAGCAGGCTGACCACATTTGGATGCCGCGCCTTCTTCAGGATAGCCACTTCCTTCTTCACTTTGTCTTCTGGATTGCCCAACTTGCCTAACCGACGGCGAGTGGAGTAGCGCTGGACAATCTTGATAGCGACTTTCTGTTTGGTCGCAACGTGCTGGCCGAGTTTCACTTTGCCATGTTCACCCCGTCCAAGCTCTTCAAGGATCTCATACTGGTTGATGGTTTTGTTTCCTGTAATCATATCGCGATCCACTTCGGCGGTGTGTGTTTCTTTTGGGGGTTGAAGGTGTGACGGATGGAGAAGTGAACTTCCCGTCGAGACGTCATCATCCGACGCGGTTGGGGTTCCCAAACGCGAGTGTCTCATGGAAAAGAGCCCGGGACTCGACAGTGGAGTGTTGCCCGCGGTACGAATACCACGGGCATAGGAGTGTCTAGGTAGCGAATCCGGTTTTGTGAGGTGGGGTGGTTGCCAGGTGGGATGCACCTGGGACTGGAGGGAAGCATAAGATTGGTCGGGATAAACAGGTAATTGATGATCCGAGTGTCTCGAAGCGTGTCGAGTGCCCCTTCCAATGTTTCCACTTTCCGAGCGGACGTCGACCACGATGCCCTCGTTGAGGGCTTGTAGCGAACTCGATGACGAGCGATTCGAGGGGGTCCGGGCACCGTAAAGGCCGGGGAAAGCCTGACGGAAGGTCGCAGCAGCTTCCGACACATCGGTGATAATAGATGGTTGTTCCACAGATGATTTGGATGGAAGACGAGACTCAAGTTCGGTCGACGCAGATGCTAGTTGCGATGACTCGTCGGATCGGCTGAGAATCCGCTTGTGATTTTTTGAGACATGACCATTCCGAGCCAGCTGATCCGGATCCTCCAGACCAGCTTGCGAGGACCGAATTTCTGTCATATTCCTTTCTTCCTTCTATGGTACTCTTTTTAAAGGGAGGGGGCCGAGGCAGCTGTGCCGAGAGTGCAGTTGAGCATTCTAGTTGAACATCCTCCAATTCGACACTTAATGTTGTGGGGGGAGGGGGGGGGAGGTTTCGTTCAAATTGGTTCAAGGTGAGCTGACAAAAAGCTCTGTTGGCATGCGCGAACAGGTCGGCATTACTTTCGTGAGATCAATAGGGATGGCGACAAATGAGCAACGGAAACCGTGTACCGGACAGCGGGTTAGCGCCTTAGGGGGGAAGCACACGAGGTAGACCTGCTACTGCACGAGGATTTGGACGATCCCACATCCACACGTGGGGATTCAAAAAAAAGGAGTGCCGTTGCAACAGATGCTATAAATAATTTGGGGTTAGGCTCGTTCGGATGGCCAATTCTCGGGGGTGGAGGTGGGGTGGGGAGCAGGGAGATCGGAATCAATCAAAAGTGAGATATCCGAAAGTAAACGTGGAAAGGAAAGGCAAGACAGCCAACAGCTGTAAGAATTTTTTAAAAAAAGAAAGAGAAAAAGATGGAGAAGCTGCGACAAGAGGGGAGAGTTGAAGAGTCGAAGGGGGGGGGAGGTTGGGTGGGTAATATGGCAGAGCGATGATCGGGACGCCAAGAACCCAAATAATTTTTTTACCATTGACAAGCCCAAATGGCCGATCAAAAATGAGTCCAAAAAAAAAAAATTGGAAAATGGAATAGATACACTCCATACGTGTTTCAATCGATCTTTATTTTATAGAAATCTTTGATATCAACGGTAATCCTCATACATAGTGGGGCTATCAGCTCTGAAATTCCGGGCTGTTTGCAGATGAGTCTAACATCTTCACTAGGGAGGGATTTATTAAAGACTACGGGGTATATATAATTTTACAGAATATAAATAGAGTAGGTATGTAGGTGGTTTTGTTCTTTCCCAGTGACGGATTTGCCACTGGGCTTTGGGTCTTTACGTCGACTTACCCGTGGACTAAAAGTAGAGGAGTTGACATGGATGACAGAGTACGGCAAGCATGTAGGCAATAAGCCTAAACTAGAAGTCATCGTGAGAATACCTACGGAAAACGGCCGACCATGGTTGCCCAACGTATGATGATTCTTATTTTTTTCTTTTCCTGGAACCCGATTTCCTCGGCTCCGACACTTGAGATTCATCTACAGTACTCCGTAGAGAGACTATCCATGTATAGAGGCTACTCTGGCCCTGCCTATGTGCCATTTTACCTCCAATCATCTCCCCCTCAGCTCGGCACCTCCAAACTCCTAACTGTTTGGAAACTGTTTTATTAGGGATTCCCCCCAGTACTACATTTGCCTTTCCCTTCTTTTTTTTGTAGTTCGTCCCAGTTGACGGTAGAAAAAGGCAAAACTGTGTCCGTGGATGGACCTTCTCTTCTTTTCGGGAAACTCCATGCACTCCGACTTTATTTTGTACATACAAACAGAATTGTTTGTAGTGTGGTGAATAGATAAATGCTTGTGGATATAGTATACTGTGACACTCTCTAATACTATAATACTACTCTGTACGGAATCTCCCAATCTCCCGGGAGGCATCCTGCATGAAGCTCTTTTAGGGGAGGAAATTCCCATGAAAAAAAAAATAAATCCGCGGTCTGTGCGTCAGAGTATCAGTGCGCTATCCTCGACGTCATCTAGGGGTCTGGCCCCAATTAGCCATCTGTCCCTCTTGGTACAAGCAACCTTCGAACTATCATCTTGGTACTTAATCATGTCCGGATAAAATACTGTTGGCACACCGCCGTGTTTTCTTGTGACCTGTGAATCTCTACGATTGGTTCTCTGCGGAATTTTGGTGTTAAGATGTTCCATGAGAACTTTTTATGCGTCTAAGGATCAGACATGTTCAGAAATTAGTTGCTTTTCTCCGCTCAATCCCCACAACTTACGGTGCGGGGGATTACTCGACCAACTGGCGAAAAATGGGCTAAACAGACTGGACCAGGATGGTCGTGGGGTTTAATGAGCGTTCTTTGAAGTCCACCCCAGACGCTTTTCAGTCTAATAGTATACTCATCTTCACTTCAGGACATAGCGGAGTGGATAAGAGTAGACATCCTTGTTGTCGCATATGAGAAATGGCCGAGCAATGGTTACATGCCGTATGCTAGGCCATTATAGTCGTCTTCTAGTACAGGTATAGAGCGTGCGAAAATTCCACTTGCTATTACAATTGTGGCACAGCTTGCCCCCCCCCCCCCCCCGTAGTGGAAGTTCAGCCTAAACGTCCGAGACAACACGCTCTGCAGCCAATTCCGGCGCCGAAGCATACGATTCCAAACCGAGCTAATCCTATAGGAGACCAAGAGGCGGGAGCACCCTGGACACTTGTCCGGGTGGTTGGCGATGCCTCTACCGTTTCTATAACACAATCATCTTATGCTGCAAGAGATGCAGTCTTAAATTTGCTCTGTTCTACAATCCATATTTCAATCAATATTAGATTTTCCCCAGGACGCATATACCTACAGTCCCCGAGCGCAACCTGCACCGCAGCGATCAAAGCACACGAAGATGAGTATGGCCTCTGCTCACCAACCGCAATCCTAGTTTCAATTCCACATCCCCCGTGGAATTCAAGATCCGTGTTGATGCTAACTGAGAGAAATGGTTCGTGCTGGACTTGCCAAATGACGAAAGGGGTCCGAGGGGGGGTTTTGCTCTCCGTTTGTGATTGACTCCCGTTCGACCGAGCATGTGCCATGCTATAGTCCCTTATTGTTCTGTGTTAACGTTGAGTTGGATTTGCCATTTGACTGTGCTGAATACCAGACATCAGATGCCCGTGGACTAGGCACCGCCGTGAATGGTATTTGTGCGCAGGCACGGTGCGATGTGGTTTGATTTGGATTAATGTTCTCTGTTGGTATCAAACTGCTCGAATAATTTTGGGTTTGGAGTAAACTCCGACGGTGTTTGGTAGAAAATGGTACTCAATTGGAATACATAGTTCTATCTGTGATTGTATACAAGTCCACAAGTGGTAACTCTGATGTCTTGGAAACCCGTTAAAGAGTTCACATGAAGGCAATTGAACGATCACAAAATATCGGATATTTGCCTATCATTGCCGAACAAAATTTTACTACCTGCCCACCTATCTCACTTACTTGTCAAGATTGACTTGCTAAAATCAACTAGCTTTCCCATTTATGTTTGCTTTCCCCCTTCGCCTCTCGTGTTTTGGAGACTCAGCGCCCCCCAACGCCGGTGGCTGACGATTATAGCCGCTGAGCCTGGGTAGTAGTTTCCATTTTCCATACACGGGTTCCGTTTGAGGTACCTTCAATAAGCGGGATAGCTATTTGCTTACACGTATAGTTCCATCAGGACTATAGAACATGGCCTAAATTAATCACAGGTGATTACATAAACAGCCAAGAGCATAGCCACGGATGAGCCCTAGCATTCTAGAAATGTGACACCCATTACATCCATTAGACGTAAGATCTCTCTCTTTCGGGTTTGTCTAGGCTGGAATAGGATCCCCAGCAAATATCACGTATTTCATGGCTATACTAAATTCACTTCACGTCAGCATGATGTAGTCCGCAGGAAGACAAATGCGGACTTGCCCTGCATCTAATTGTTCTGATACGTGCATCTAGTATAAAAGAGGCATAGCCCTGCTGAGGTTGCTGTCGTGTATCTCCCCTTCCAAGGCTAAGATGAATTTTGCCCTTCGTTTATCAAGGAGCTTTCCTTTCAGTCAACTCGAGTCCCGCGTTTCTCAGAGACGTGCAATTGCAACTTCCCCTATCGCCATGGCACCCCGCATCATCGACACAATCAAAAAGAACCACCGGGAGATTGAATCATATTATGGCAAACTAATTACCTCCCAGAATGAGGATGAACAGACTCGCTTCCAGAATCTGTTTACCTGGGAGTTAGCTCGACACTCCATTGGAGAAGAGCTGATTGTTTATCCTCTCTTTGAGAAACTACTCTCCGAGGGCGTGGCAATGGCCAATAAAGACCGTGATCAACACTTGAAGGTGATTTAAAAGGCTCAGCTGCTACCTATCATGGTGCTAACGTGATGTGATGGGTCTAGGTTAAAAAACAACTGAAGGCGTTCCAAAAAATGACACCGTCAGATGCGCAGTTTGTTCCTACTGTCAGGGAGCTGATGGAGAATCTTACCGAACATATCAAAGAGGAGGAGAATGACGATCTACCTAAACTGGAGCAAGCCTTGACTCAAGAGGATAGTGAGGAGTATTCTAAGAGCTTCGGTCGAACGAAGATGTTCGTCCCTTCGCGTGCTCACCCTAGTGCACCAGACAAGCCCCCGTACGAGACAGTTGTGGGGCTTCTGACGGCCCCCATCGATCATCTCGCTGACCTCTTCCGTAAGTGGCCTGATAAATCGGGGATGCCTAATCCATCTACGAAATAAAAATTCGTTGGGATGAACCTTGCGGGCTGCAATAATCTGGACTCTTTTCGGGATGTTGTGTACTTCGGTTCCAAATTAGTTCTCATTATCACAGGTTCTATTTGGTTCGCTAACTTAGTACCGAGGCGGTGATCCACAAAGATCTTCAGCCCACTATTCCGCCGACATGACGAAAATCGACGTAGACACCTTGGAATGTTGGGCTTTGGGTCTGGTTGGAACCGATTTACTTTCAACACCGCGGTACCTTTTGCCTTCGGTCGACTTCTGTTTGAGTCTATCTAGAAGTCAGCCTCAAGTTGCATGCGTGGTTGGAAAGATGTGAGAGCTCCTAGCAGACTTGTGCTAGCGATAAGTCCCCTAGATCTAATAATATTCCCCGTAGTGCCTCTGCCGAGCTATCATGGGAACTTATCATTCAAGTCAGGCCCCATTAATTTCCTGACTTTGATAGTGTCCTTCAGACACCCAGCAGGTCTACATCCCTAATCCTACCTTGCCTCCTAGTCCCTGATGCTAGCAGGATACAAACATCCTCACCGGCCATGTCGCCAATCCTGATTTCTCTCAATTATTCCTTGCCACTGTCTAAATTTGATGGCATGCTTCGTGTTCATCTGCAGGGCTAGTTTAAGACAGCTTGGAATCTTTGACTAGGTCTGCAGATCCTGTGTGCTTATGGGGTTAACGGTAATGACCAAACGAGTTGATCTCCAATGGGGCGCGATTTCCTTCAAGATGAAGCTCCGACCTACTTTGAGCCTCAAACGAACACTCACAACCAGCGGACCTGGGCACTGATTTTCCCTTCTCATGGCGTTGGGGAATGTTTCTTTAACCCCTCGGACATGGATCGTAGTGAGGCGATGGGCCAGTCTTCAGTGGAGGCAAACGTAGCAACTTGCGGTTGACTAGACGTCAATATGACTCCATCGCATCTGGCCACAGATACCTCGTGGCGTTGCAGATATAAATATACCATGAACATAGCCTTCAAAATCCGATATTCGACATTTCCCATCTACGATTACAAAATCTACTCTGTCCATATCTCCCTATCATAATGGTCGACAACCCAAACCCCGGTAACTTCCACAACCGACCTCACGAAGAGGTCGAGAACATTGCTCGAAAGGGTGGACAATCTAGCCACCACGGTGGATTCGCTTCGATGGATCCCAACAAGCAGGTCAGTAAAAAAGCAGAAAGCAATTTGAATACAACCCAACTCACCCCACTGAAGAGGGAGATTGCCTCGAAAGGCGGTCACGCTTCCCGTGGAAAATTCGAGCCAGGAAGCCCGAGAGCCAAGGAAGCCGGTCGGAAAGGAGGTCGATCCGCCCACCAGCCCGAGGAATAAGGGGAATAAGGGAATGGATGACTTTTATTCGCGTAGCAGGGGGCGCTTCACCGTAGCTGGCAAGCTGCTATCTCCAGCTATCGTTTGGTTATACGGTGAAATGAATCCAATAAATTTAGTACAATCTTAGGGCTTTGGAGAAAAGGTATCCCATGTTCTCTGGAGTGATGCATTCATTTAGAATTGGGGCTTGTTCTTTTTTTTTTTTTTTTCCCGTACCTTCTTTTAGTATACGTATTGACAACACTTTGAATCAACCGTTCCTACAACCTATCTTCATGGTTGTCAAGATTGAATTTTTTATATTTTGCATTTTTAGAGACACAATCCCCACTCTTCAACGGCCCGCATGGGGACACTTGATCACGGCAAAAGAATTAAAAAAGCCCAGTAGTCTCCTTGAATTTCCAAAAATCAACCCTTACGCTGAATATGGGTTGCTACTATATATGTACCTTTAAATGTACGTTGTATTGTGAGGGAATACCACATCCAACATACTGATCCAGTGAACCATGACAAACACACGATCATCCATCGTTGCCAGGCAACGAGGTGGATTTCGCGTCGATCTAGCGCTATCCATCAAGTTCTTTCTTTGTTTATGTTGTAGGGGCGAGCAAAGTCGGCATGAAACGACTGAGTACACTTGATGATTGGTCTACAATATACAACATAGCCCTGAGGGTAAACAAAATTTGCTCAATACAATGTCACTCATCTCTTTGCCTTTTCATTCTGAGGATCGTTGACATTGACACTACCACCTGTCAAAAGTATCATCTGCATTGCGCTGTCCGAAAATAGATCTTCGCGTGGCACGCCATGCTCGCTGATCCTGGAATGTATCCCTGCTTCTGATTGTCTCGGAGTGCAAACACCATGAAGCACCGAAAGGTAAAGGTCTTCCTGCTTGCGCTTCTTGCGCTAGTTAGTACCTCCACTGCAATCCCATACACCCCGTCCTCTATCTTTCTTTCTTCCCAGCACAATGACTCCCTCGCATACATTCTCCGACCTAGCTCCACTGGTCAAACCGAGTTCGTCTCCCTCAACCTGTCCAGCAGTATCGATGTCGAGAATCTATCATTTCAAACCCTGTTGAAGAGCACGCCGTTTTACAGTTCGGATCAGAACGCGAGCTTTGTCGCCGCCATCAATGAGCAAGGGCTCATCACAGTCTACTCGGGCAACTGCCACTGTGCATCTGATAACCCGGTGCTATGGCAATTCCACCCAAACAGCAAAAGTTCAATCGGCAATGGGACCTGGGATAGGCTGCCAGTCATTACCAGCGATGCAACAACCGCAGCGAACTACCTGGCGGCGGGATTCACGTATTCGGCATCCAAACAAGAAGATGAGAGCTCCATGTACGCTTTTGGTGGGATGTGTCCATTCGCGAACAGCACGGATGAAACATGGGTCTCGGCGGCCAACTACTCCCAATCAACGGTCGTGCTCGGACCGAGTCCCTACTACAATACCAAGTTCACCGCTGCCACTGTTGGCAAGCGCGCGCCCCCTATCGCTGAAGCTGGAATGGCCGTCGTGCCGCTCCAGCCTGCCTATGCTGCCGATTCGATGGGGAAAGAACAGGAATTTTTGTTTATTGGTGGACACACTAGCCAGGCATTCCTAAACATGTCGCAACTGGCCATTTTCTCGCTGCCGCAGCAAAGTTGGAGCTTTGTTTCTGTAATCTCGAATTCGACATCAAAGACTCAGCTGACGATCCCGGACACGGTTTCTATTGAGCCTCGCTCCGGTCACACTGCAGCTCTGTCGGAGGATGGCAATAAGGTGTTTGTGTTTGGAGGGTGGGTGGGCGATATGACTGTCCCCGCGGAGCCGCAGTTTGCAGTTCTAGAGCTGGCAGAAGGGTTTGACGGAGCCACCGAATGGATTTGGACAGCACTCTCGTTTGAAGGATCAGGGATCGCCAAGGGTGCTGGCATCTTCGGACATGGGGCGGCAATGCTCCCTGGGGGTGTGATGATGATTTCGGGGGGCTACAACATCCCGAAACCATCCTCGAAACGGGCCTCAGCGACTGCACAGTCCAACGCGCGGGTCTATCTCTACAATACGACTGCTAGCAGTTGGGTCACTTCTTACCGCCATCCCGCAGCAAGTTCGTCGAACGCTTCCTCCAGTTCCCGTAAGCTTTCATCATCCCAAAAGGCCGGCTTAGGGGTTGGACTGGGCGTTGGATGTCCCGCTGTCATGGCCATCATTTTGTGGGGATGGAACTACCACCGAAAGCGCCGCGTCAAGGTCAAGCGAGACTCGCAGCTACGGGAACTTGCTTTGGGAGCGGAACGTGCTCACTTCTGGGGTCGAGACTGTCCAACCCAAGCAAGCAGTATTCGGTTTTCTGGAATGAGCGAAATAAGAGATGCCCCCATATATCCTTGGTCGGCAAATCGCAGCCAGATAACAAGGCCTAACTGGACAGACCAAGGCGAAGGCCCGGCGGAGAGGACTGGGCTGCTGATGGACCCTACTAGTCCAGTCAAGCAAAGCCGTCCCCCTGTGATGCCTCCGGTGAACAATAGGCCATTCTCTAATCGAAACAGTGAATACCGGCGCAGTGATGCTACTGGTGATATCCACCCTATCGATGAACGCGAAGAAGATGAAGCGACCTTCCGAGAAAATCTCTTGCCAACCATCGCAGATGAATCAGGACCTACGGTCAAGACTACAGAGTCCGAAGACGCTTTTTCAAATACCCCTTATGCGACTCCTCGGAGCACCATCTTCGGCGTTGGCCTAGGTCCTTTCTACAGCCGGCGAAAGGAAATTGGATCCGTGGATGTCGAGTCTCCGACAAAAAGTGAACGCACAGGCACCAACCTGTCAGACCATTCAGCGTTTTCCTTTGCGTCCTCTCAGCCCGTGGGCAAGGTCAACCAAGCACGAGGTATCCTCGTTGATCGAGCGCTGAGCTGGAGCAGCGGACGCGAGTCACTAGAGTACTTCGCCGCAGCCTCAACACACAGCGACCCAGAGGGCGTAGCCCCCTCCGAGAATTCCGTGTCAGCGGATTCATATTCTACAGCCCAGACAAACATGGCCAACCGCCAGGCAGAGAACGAGTCCCTCCTCCTCGACGCCCTTGACCCCACCCCGCCCTCATCCCCTTCGAAACTGCCCCGAGAATCGAAACCCACTGCCTCGGACTGGGCAATGAATAGCATGCACCGAGCCCTAATAATGACCCACCGCAGCCCCGACAGCCAGCTCTACTCTGATACCAGTAGCGCTGGCACAATGCACCATGCCTCCGGCATTGACCACCGCAATATGCTCGTTGGATCCCCCCAACATACAGTCCCGGGCCCCAGCACATCGCGTCGGGTAGTTAGCGCTTCAGCAGAGTTGTTCTACCGCAAGCAGGGTGCCAAAGACTGGAACGCGCACCAGCGAGTCTCAGACGATGTGTTCAACACTGCCCGGTCTACAGGCGATGATCGTTTCACCGGTGTGGCGGAATACGTAGGTAACGAAGCGGATTTCAGCGATGACGAGGAAGATGATTGGGACCTGGAGGTTGCTGCCGAGGGTCGACGAGTCCAGACAACTTTTACTGTTCCGCGAGAGAAACTCCGTGTCGTTAATGCTGCTGCTGGCGATTTTGAAAGTATGTCCGAGCGCTCTATTAATCTGGGCACTGGGAACCGGAGGGTCAGTACCTAGATCTGAGATCTGGGATTTTGTTCACTTCTCCTGATTGTCTCGTTTTCTTTTCTTGGTTTTACCTTCTTGCTTGTATTTTTGCATGTGCCTTCTTCTTCTTCTTTTTTTTTCTCTTCGTTTTGTGGGCTTGAATTGGTGTCTGTATCTATGAGAAACACCCGGAGATGTGTTGCATTGCATTGCGTCGCTTGTACACAACTTTGGTGTGCAAGTTTTCGGTTGCCGTTCTCTCGCTTGGAGTCTTTGCTTTTTGTCACACTGGTTTTAGTGGGTGGCTGCTGTTTTCTGTCGCTTTTGTTTTCCACGGCGGTCTTTTGATGCCGTCCCGAGATGAGATGAGATGATGGTCCTGATGAATTGATGTTTCCCCTTTTTGTTTCATGATTCTTCGCTGTAGAGTGAACGTTTGTTGGATTAGGGAGCGAATCCAAAAATGAGAGATCTTGCTTTGCGGTCATTAAGCCTTTAGAAGTTACTATCCTTCTTGGACAATTGCATACATAGAAGAGAAAACGTTGGGTTTGAAGTAAATGCACGAACACGGCATCTATGTACCACTTTTATAGGTCCATGATACTTTCAAGTCATGATAGATGTCGACATGAACTTTTGCAACGACGCTTGTTTATTAAATATTTAATACAACTTGTCAGATTTCCTCCCGTTTACGACGATGCAGCACTCTTGGGCGCGGTAGCAGGGTTCGTCGGAATAGTCTGAGGCTTCCGGGGAAGCAAGTTCTTGGCGCCCTCGCGGGCATATTGAGCCATGAGAGCATCCATGACAACCAGCGATGACATAGCCTCAACGATAGGTACAGCACGGGGGGTAACACAAGGGTCATGACGACCCTTAGCCTCCAAAATACCCTCCTCACCGTTGTAAGTAGTAGTGGTCTGCGCTTGGCCGATAGTAGCAGCAGGCTTGAACGCGACGCGGAAGTAGATGGACGCGCCATTGGAGATACCACCCTGGATACCGCCAGAGTTGTTAGTCTTGGTAGTGAGGCGGGGGCTGCCTGCAGTCTGGTCGACGATGAAGGGATCGTTGTGAATTGAGCCGGGGACCTCGCAGCCTCCGAAACCGGAGCCGATCTCGAAGCCCTTGGTTGCGGGGATGCTGAGCATCGCGTGGCCGAGTTTGGCTTCAAGCTTATCGAAGCAGGGCTCACCCAATCCAACTGGCACGTTGCGGATCACGCATGTTACGGTTCCACCGATGCTGTCTTTATTGTCACGGAACTTCTCGATGACTTTGGTCATGCGCTCAGCGGCGGCGGTTTCCGGGCATCGGATGGGCGCAAAGGAGTCGACGGTTTTGCGGTCGATCGTCTCAATAAGCTTAAGGAACTCTGGGTTCGTGGAGGGGGAGGGGTGTTCGGGGGTCGGGGGGAAGAGGTGCTCGTTGCCGACAGAGGAAACGAAGGCGACGATTTCAATGTTATGCGCCAGGCTGAGGAACTTCTCGGCGATGGCACCAGCGGCGACACGGCCTGTGGGGATTGAGTTAGCGAGAGTAGTTGGTTTCCAATGTGGGTGTTTACACATAACGTACCAATGGTCTCACGGGCGCTGCTGCGGCCACCGCCACTGCTGGCCTTTACGCCGTACTTCTCAAGGTAGGTGAAGTCAGCATGGCTAGGGCGGGGATACAGGTCCATTGTACTGCCGCCGTAGTCTTTGGGACGCTGATCCTCATTGCGGACAACCATAGCAATTGGTGTGCCCAGAGTGACACCGAACTCTGTGCCTGACTGGATCTCGACTCGGTCCTTTTCGTCCCGCGGGGTAGTGAGGGCGCTTTGGCCGGGACGACGCCGGGTCATTTGGGGTTGAATGTCGGCTTCAGTAAGCTCTAGACCCGGAGGACATCCGTCGACGATGCAGCCGACGGAGCGACAGTGGGACTCGCCATAGCTGAATCGTGTTAATAGTGATGTGTGTGGTGAGCGGTGGGCAACTTACGTGGTGACACGGAAATATTGACCCCACGTCGACATGATGGATGTTGAAAGATGGTCGCAAGGTAACGAAGGAAATCTAAAAGTTCAAAAAACTCCAAGATCAATCAAAACAGTAAAGTAGGAAAGGTGAACCAGGTTGATGACTGACCGCAAGTAGAGAAAAAGGAAATTGGAAATCGACTCATCGCTGGGATTCCTATCTGGGACTAGCGCAACCGACTATCGGCCCATAACGTTCGTGATGCGATCAATGACTTCGTCCACCCTTGCTCCAATGCTCGCCCTTCGAGGATGTTCCTCGTCTTTGGCTATTTGGACCAATCCACTGAAGCATCGCTGGGTCCGCCATAATTCATCGTATCCCGCTGACCAATTCGCCGAGCTCGCCAGCCGTCCCTCCTCTTTACACCAGATTTACCAATCGCTATCAACAGATCCCTATGTGAACCTTTCGATCGAGCACTTCCTACTAGAAAATGCCCCGGCAGAATCCAGCATTTTGTTCCTTTATGCCAATCGACCATGTGTGGTCATTGGTCGCAACCAGAACCCTTGGCTTGAAACAGATCTCCGTGCACTTCATAATGACCGCAGGAACGGCACGACGGGAGAAGACGAAAATGCAGTATTTGTGCGTCGGCGATCAGGTGGCGGGGCTGTCTTCCACGATGAAGGCAATCTGAACTACAGCGTCATATGCCCGCGTACCTCGTTTACACGCGACAAGCATGCCGAGATGGTAGTGCGCGCACTTCATGAGGTCGGAGCTACCAACACTAGTGTAAATGAGCGGCATGATATTGTTATGGCCCGAGCAGAGGGACTGCAAAATGACCCCAACGAGCCTCCCACACGCAAAGTCTCTGGCTCTGCGTTTAAGCTCACTCGACACCGAGCTCTCCATCACGGCACTTGCTTGCTCGATTCCCCGAATATTCATGATCTTGGCCGGTACCTGCGATCATCCGCCCGCCCGTACATCCAAGCCAAGGGCGTTGAAAGCGTTCGTTCACCGGTCGGGAATGTTTCGGCTGCGTTAGCCGACTCGTTCTTTTCCATGCAGGGCGTGGCTCAAAGTGTAATCGAGCAGTTTGCTCGGCTCTACGAGGTACATCCCGATGCTGTTCTAAGGGCCCAGCGTGCTCATGCCAATGAGCCTGAAGTATTTGCTGGAGATTCTTGGGTGGCTGGTACAGTGGGAGAAGTGCAGGGCGAGCAGGTGCCCGCCATTGGGAAAGGGATTGCCGAGTTGCGCTCGTTGGAGTGGAAGTACACTCAAACACCACGGTTCACTTTCTCGACGTACCCCATTGAGGAAGACCCTCGTGAACGGCCGCCACTGCCATCCTCGCTCCCGTCAAGTACTCGTGCATTCCTCCGCCTGCAGCATGGCGCTATCGTCGAAAGCCACATCTCTGTCTCACCCGATGAGTCCACCGCATCCGACCAAGCTAATCACGTCCATTCAGCACTGAATGGACAGAAGCTGCACGAGATTACCTTGGCCCGGTGGATCGAGATCTTAAAACAGGGCCTTGGTAAGACTGAAGGAGTTGATGATGTTCTTGTGAAAGAGCTGGCCCGATTCTTGGGCGGCCTTCTGGGGGGTTAACTGACCAACTGCATCGATGCCATGTGATTTTTGGCGTGCATAGATATCGAATGCTCTTGGACCCGATGTACAATATAATCCCATGATATCCTACACGAGGAGCTATGTTATTGGTTGCGTTGCCTGTCTCCTTCATTGGTGGACGATGATTTCCCCACTAATAGGACTCTCGCAGCTTATTTCGGACAGACTAGCCTCTTGCCACTGATGATCTCCTTACGTTACGTCAACCGGCTAAATTCAAATCCCACGCCAGCCCCAGGATTTCCCCAGGAATACGCACAGATCTAAGTGGCTGAATCGGCATTCTGGCCGAATTCGGACTCGCGACAAAGTGCCCTTAGGTATTACTAAATGTTATCACAGTCGCGCGAACCCCGATATTAAGTGCCTATTAAGTAACTTATAACCGGCGATTAACCAGACGCCAATTTAAATGACACCTACAAACAATACATCAAACAAAATTAAAAACAAGCTACCTTATCATCGCGAACTCTACATAGTCTCTAGGCTTACAGACGTACGATGTCCATCCACGCTAACGGCCGAACCCCCTCCCAGGCCTTTAGCAAATCCCTTTTCCTCACTAGATCCGACCTACAAGAGGCATGCCGCGCTATTATCGACCCGCTAGTACCTCTATTTACACCAGGTGGCACACGCATCAAAGTAGGCACGTCGACGACACGATTCGACGAAGGCGGCGCCCAGATTGAGGGATACGCCCGCCCGCTATGGGGCCTAGCCTCGCTGCTGAGCGGCGGATATGAATACACCGAGGCCGAGCGCTGGCGCCAGGGAATCATCAACGGGACTGATCCGGAACACCCGGAGTTCTGGGGCCATATCGAGGATATGGATCAGCGCATGGTGGAGATGTGCCCGATTGGGTTTGCGCTTGCTGTTGCGCCTCATGTCTTTTGGGATCCATTGACGGAGAAGCAGAGGGGAAATGTTGGTAGTTGGTTGGCGAGCATTAATGCGCGCGAGATGCCGAATACGAATTGGTATGTCATAACTTGATCTGCCCAGGATGTGCTTTTGTTGGTGTGGATTGAACGAGTCAGCTAATAGTGGCCGGGACGATTGTAGGCTGTGGTTCCGCGTCTTTGCAAACTTAGGCCTCCAAAAAAATGGCGCTGCGTACTCTTTGTCTCGTATCGAGGCAGATATGGACCATTTGGATACCTTCCATGTTGGCGGAGGATGGAGTAATGATGGACCAAATAGTCATCATCAGATGGATTACTACTCGAGCTCGTTCGCTATTCAGTTCTTGCAGCTTCTCTATTCGAAGCTGGCGGGTGACTTTGATTCTGAGCGTGCTGAGCGCTATCGTCAGCGGGCACGGGAGTTTGCTCAAGACTTTGTGCACTACTTCAATCCTAATGGTATGTCTCGGATGGATCTTTTTGATATAATTCTCTCTGGTCTTTGAGGATGTACCTTGATCCTGACTAGAAGTACTATCAAACAGGCAGTGCTATTCCATTCGGACGCTCTATGACCTATCGATTTGCCATGGTTGGATTCTGGGGTGCATTAGGCTTCGCAGATGTCGAACTACCGGAACCACTGACTTGGGGCGTGGTGAGGGGAATTATCCTTCGCCATTTCCGGTGGTGGTCTATGCAGCATGACATGTTCAATAATGATGGCACCTTGAGTCTCGGCTACTCGTACGCTAACATGTACCTAACGGAGAATTACAATTCCCCCGGGTCACCGTACTGGTGCTGTCTCTCATTCACCCCACTGGCACTACCGGACACACATCCCTTCTGGTCCGCGGAAGAGGAGTCTTACCCGAGTTTCTCTTTGCCCGAAGTGGTAGCCCTCCAATATCCCAAACACATTGCCATCCGTCGTGGGGGACACTCGTTCCTGTTGTCATCCGGCCAAGCATGCCACTACCCACTCAAAGCGACACAAGCCAAGTATGGCAAGTTCGCATACAGTTCTACTTTTGGATACTCGGTTCCGACGGGTGGCTACCGGCTTGAGCAGCACGCCCCAGACAGCATGCTTGCGTTGTCAGACGACGGCGGCGACATCTGGCAGACTAGACGGCTGGCGCTCGATACGCATTTCGAGGAACCCGAGCTCAATGGTCAGCCTATTCTTGTCTCTGGCTGGAAACCGTGGCCAGATGTTGATATAGAGACCATTCTCATTCCGCCGACAGAGGAAACTGAAAATTGGCATCTGCGCGCTCACCATGTGCGCACCGGTCGCGCTTTGCAGACTTCCGAAGGTGCCTTTGCTATTTACGGATGTCGCAGTGATAATGGTCGTACCTTGGGGCCTATGACTGGGGATGATTCTGAGGGGACAATGCATGACAGTCGGAGTGGGCTTGTCGTTTCATCGGCTGGGGCTGTTGGCATTGCCGAGATTCATTCGGCTATTGAACGGGCTGGTCATATCATCTTGGCTGATCCAAACTCTAATATCATTCATGGACGCACGCTTTTGCCCTCGCTTTTGGTGGATTTAGCAGCTGGTCAGGATTGCTGGTTCGTGTCGGCTGTGTATGCTGTTCCAGACCATCAAAGGGATTGGAAGGCGGCTTGGAAGAAGAAACCAATTATTCCAGAGTGGCTACAGAAGAGGATGGAGAGCACAGATCGGAGTTGATTTCTGGGCGACATTCCAGTTTTGTATGCAATACAAATGAATGGGGCCCTGCGAACATCTTGATTTTACTGTTTTGGGATTAGCCCTAAGTTTCCAAGTTCTCCCGCAGTCCGGGGTGAGATCAACAGCCGATACCTCACTTTCAACCGTCGAATCTTCTCTCTTTGCCGGCTAAAACAACCCTCTTCTCCCATTATTTTCGCCACGGTTAAATCACCAGAAGATCAGCACATTCGAAGTACCACATACTAGCCTAGAACTTTACCCCCCGTACGCCTCTTGCCTATATGAGAGCTGCACGTGAATCAGCCGTAAGCATCTTTGACACTTGGATCCTTGGACCAACCCACAAGCATACTAGACATGTGAGCAGTAGTCGCTTTTTGCAGCCTCGGTCTTGCTTCGGATTCGTGGATGTTTTCATCCATCTTCCCTCGCCTTGTTTCGTGACCCTGCTTTTGTCCCGTAGGCCACTCGGTGGCCGAACAAAGATAACTGAGCTTAGGATCATACCTCTCATAGGCTTCAAGCTTATAGTCTCTTTCCACCTTTAATGTGTATATCAGTTCACCGTCGGCATCTTGTGTTTAAATTCTTTGCAAGCTGGTACCAGAGAATTTCTTCTAGACTGGTTAATTCCCCTCGACTGGAATAAGCCCGATCATCTCCATTCACCCCTTTTACTACTGTCCAAGATGTCATGGCTTCTAAAGAAGATCGTTCATAATGAGGCAATGAAGGAGGATCCTAAGGAGATCTATGGGTGGAGGGTCTTAATGCTTGCCGGCTCGGTCAGTCTCTTTTCAGCCATGGCAGTGATAATGATGCTAGATTTACAGAGCTAAGAGTCCCCAGGCATGTTTCGGCGGAATGCTTTTTGGAATGGACTCCGGTACCATCGGCGGAGTATTAACTATGCCAGGATTCAAGAAGTGAGTCTTCTTTGGATTCCCTGACATCCAGCGATTCTGACTAGTGTCATTGATATAGGACATACGGCCTGGAGGATCTTTCCAAAGTCGCGGCAGCAAATCTTTCGGCCAATATCGTCTCCACGCTCCAAGCAGGATGTTTCTTTGGAGCTCTAGTTGCCTCTCCGATAGCAGAAAAATGGGGTAGACGGCTTTCCCTAATGGGCACAGCGGTGGTAGCTGCACTCGGAATTGTCTTACAAACTGCAGCCAGCGGACACATCGAAGCCATGTATATCGGACGGTAAGACAGATATTCCCGCCTTCAGTCATCCACCCATCGGTGTAACCAGATATCTAAACCTCTAGACTGATAACTGGCTTCGGGGTCGGCGCCGCATCCATGATCAACCCACTCTACATCGCTGAGAACGCGCCGCGCGCAGTCCGCGGTGGTCTCACAGGCCTATACCAGCTCTTCATTACAATGGGCATCATGCTCGCATTCTGGATCAACTATGGCTCGCTGCTCGACATCGAGGGCCCCGCAATGTACGTTGTTCCACTGGCAATGCAAGGTCTCCCCGCAGTGCTCCTGGTCTTTGGTATGTTGATGTGCAACGAATCCCCCCGCTGGTTGGCCGAACAAGACCGGTGGGAAGAAGCCCGCGCGACTCTCTCCACAGTGCGTAATCTGCCCTCTGATCACCCATACGTAGAAGAGGAGTTCGCGGCCATTGCCACGCAGTTGGAACAGGAGCGCGCACTTGTCGCTGGGTCCGGCTTTTGGGACTTGATGAAAGAGATGTGGCTTATTCCGGGTAATCGCCAACGCGCGATTATCTCGATCGTCTTGATGATTTGCCAGCAGATGACTGGAACCAATGCGATCAACTACTATGCGCCCCAAATCTGTATGTTGCTTTTCACCTCAAGTTATTGCCGTTGAAAAATCACCCAGCTAAAAAGTCGCAGTTGAAAACGTGAGCGCACGCTTCTATCTCTAATCCCCGCAAAGCGAGAATATAAGAGGCTAACCACATCCTATCTCCAGCTCGGCGTAACTGGCAATGCAACCAACCTCTTCGCAACTGGCGTCTACGGCATCGTTAAGATGATCAGCTGTGGCGTGTTCTTAATCTTTGTAGCGGACTCGCTCGGCCGACGCCGCTCCCTCCTGTGGACCTCGATCGCGCAGGGCTTGACAATGATGTACATCGGACTGTATGTGCGCATTGCGCCACCAGTGGAGGGCGCGCCCGTCATTCCGGCCGGGTATGTTGCGCTCGTGTGCATTTTCCTCTTTGCGGCATTTTTCCAATTTGGATGGGGACCCGTCTGCTGGATTTACGTCTCCGAGATCCCCACTGCCAGGTTGCGCTCACTGAATGTTTCTTTGGGAGCTGCTACGCAGTGGCTGTTTAATTTTGTTGTGGCCAGGGCTGTGCCAAATATGTTGGCTACGGTTGGTGATAATGGCTATGGGTGAGTTTGGCTGACAAGTTGATATCTTGGATAGTGAGGATGCTGATTTTCGGCTGCGCAGAACGTATCTTATCTTCTCGTGCTTCTGCTTCTCCATGTGTGTGTTTGTGTGGTTCTTTCTTCCGGAAACCAAGGGTGAGTCGAGTCCTCGAATAGTATGATGGCATTCTTTGCTGACAATGGTGCGCCTATAGGATTGTCCCTCGAGAAAATGGATGAGCTCTTTGGAGTTTCGCAGCTGCTTGAGCATAAGCATGCTGGCGAGGAGCGAACCTCTATTGGCGATGGAGTGGATAAGTCGTCCGAGGTGCATGTTGAGTGAGTGAATCTGTGATCCACTAGTCTACATCTAAGTGGAGTGTCAATGAACGTTGAGAGCGATCTAATTCAAGAAATCAACACTGTAGTTTCAAAGACTATTTAGTCATCGTAATTTCATAGACATCATCAAAGTACCTGGATAGTCCAACCCTCTCGCAGGATATGTACAGCGGTCCCAACACCTCGAACGACGGCCAAATCCGTCATTATAGAACAAAAAAAAAATTATTCGCCAGCGCTATGAACCCACGAAATTCGCTTGAATCAAACCTGGGAGACCGAAAATGTAAAAGGAAGGAAACGACTGGCTCAACCTATCAACGTAGTGGCGATGGCTTCTTCAGTCTGCAAGTGATGACAGGGGGCCAGAGAATGGCCAGTGGTGTGCTGAACAAAAAAGAAGGAAAAAGTTCCAAAAGAAAGAAAAGATGAACGCGAAATGAAACCTACAGAATCATCGGACGTAGTTAGTCGGACGCCGACCAAGTAGCCCACGCTGGGTCTGGCTGCGGGTCATACGGCGGGGAGTAGGATCATCGTCCAAGCTCAAACCACCTATGCCTGATCCGAGACCACTCCGCCGGGGTGAGTAAAAGGCGTTGGAACCCAGACCGGGGTGATTCCCATACCGAATGTTGCGGTTAGTGAAATTGGTGGCGGCGGTTGTAGTTGTAGCTATAGTCTCGGTGTCGGAATCTCGCTCATAATCAGACAAGGACTCGATTTGCTTTAGAGATTCCATGGTGAAACTATGTGGGTTGCTGTTTTGCTTGGAGGTGTTCTGATTGGCAGCGGGGAAGGAGTGGACAGTTCGAGATGAGGTAAGCCCATACTGTGGCACGGAAGGTAATGCTGAAGAGAAACTGGACGCCGCTTCGGTATCACCAAATGAAAGCGAAGGAGCGGATGGTGGTGACTCAAATGATCGGTGCACAGGAGGACTGCTGACCCGAAGCTCAGGCGTAGGCTTGGATGAAGATTGGCTTGCGGGCCAGTCAAGGGCACCTGGTTGACTCAGATGCGGTGATTGTGACTGCGGATGTGGTGATACAGATCCCGAGTTCTGCTGGCTTTCGAACCTGGCCATATTGTAGAAAGATAATACATTCATGGTCTCTTGTGCAGCCATGAAGATCAGGAGTAGTTTGCCGTAGCGATCGAAGTAGTCCCGATTGAGCGAAACGGTGGGTAAATGCGCCCCCATGTGGACAGCGACGCCAAGTTCGGTGATAGATATGAGAATCTCCATGCCATTCCATTGCACAAGAGGCTTTTTAACCATGGTTATCAAAGCGAACCCCGCAACAAGGCTTGCCGCGCCTAGGGCAGCGATCTCCACGTAATTTCCTGGTATCAAGACCTGGTGATTCTGAGAGAAAGTCCATGCGCTGATGAAGCTGACTAGCAAACCTAGTCGGAGACATCCATAAAAGAGAAGACGTTGCGTCTCATCGAGGCGCGGGCCCTGTTTCTGCTGTTGTTGAGACCAACCAGGTCCTTGAGCAGCATCGGACTGGAAGTTAAAGGCACGGTCAAACAGTGTTTCCAGTCCGGTGGATGTATCATGATCATGAGGAGGAAAGAATTTCGGTTCCTTAAACACTGGTTCGGCATCGGTACGCCTTTGCTGCCAGTGGTCTTGCGGTTGGGTAGGACTGCGGTGGAACGGATTAGGTTGAATCACTTGCTCGATGGGCTTTGTTGAAGTCTGGGTGCGAAGCTTCCACGCAGGAGAAATCGGGGCTGCCGGGATCTGCCCCTGAAAAGGATGAGGACCGGCGAGCACAGACGGCTGATCTCGCCGTGTCACAGTCGGCCGGAGGTTATGGGTAATAGAAGGGGACCAATCCATGCCATCATTCTCCGCAAGATTGGAGGCAACCGTAAGCGACTGTTCAACGGGTGACGGAGATTGAGGCTGGGCCAACTTGTTGATTGGAAAGCGCTGCTGTAATCCAATAGTGTTCGCCTTCGGTGTTCCGCCAGATCTTGTGATTCTAGTCGGCACGGGCGACTCAGGCAGTGCAGAAGAAGACGCCTTGGGGCTTTCGAATTGAGTTTCCCAGCTATTATCAGACCAATTGACAAGTGGACGGCTGGAGTAGCTGACAACATATCGAGAAAACAAAACCGACTGTCAAGGTTAGCGCATGAAAAGTTCAAGGGTCAGGACATGCTTACCAGAACAGTGAAAACCATCATCAAAGCATGGAAGGCCGGAATCATTTTGGTGTCTAACCCACTGGCAGATGGATCCTTTACCACTGCCCAGAAAACACATCTTACCACCATGACAATGAGTTGGGCTTGATAGTACTCTGCAAGACCACAGAATTTACCGGGCATTCCGTCTACCTTCATGCGCAGCTTTGGATTCCACCAGAGTGAAAGTGCACCTGCGATCAATGCCAGACCGGCAGTCGGTACTAGGTCAGGCGAGCATTCGCTGGGAATGCGCTGTAACCGGATAGACTGGTTGATGCACGAGATCACAGAATTGGGTGCCATTGGAGGCCGTCCGGCATCGGGTAAATGTTCGGAATTGAGGGAGGTCTGCGAGAGGGTGGCTACACTGATCATATTCCAGGCTAGCTGACCAGCAATACTAGCCCAATATGCAAATGCACCCACGAGAAGAAGCAAGCTTCTCCAGCTCCGGTTCCTCACTTGTCGTGATTCTCGGTTTGCTCGGCTTTGATCCATCATACGCCTAAGGTGATCCGATTTCGCTTCGTAACCAGCTCTTCTGATGCGAGATTTGACAATGGGTTCGCACGACTCGCAAACCTGGGGGTATCGGTCCTCCAGGCTTCTGCGGAACTGCTCATACCCGCGTTCGTATTCGCTATTGCTGGGGTCGTCCGAGGGAGGGAAGTAGGAAGCCAGTGAGCTTGTAAATAGATGCTGATTTCGAGCACATTTGACGCAAAATGACTGGGATCCACCGAAATCAGTTGATTTGAAGGGCAGGTCTGACACGCCAGGCGCGTCGACTTCAGCGTTGGTGACCACAGCTGGAGGGTCTGTTATTTCTCCTTTCTTTGTAGAGAACATTTATTAGTGCAATCCATGTAAAGACTCGAGGGAAGGATCTATCAACCTACCTCGTCAAAGAAATTATCAGCCTCACAATGTTCACAGCGGAAATTGCGAACAGGCCCGCGACGAGAGCGAGCGGACCGCTGCCCACAATAAAAGCAGGTCAAACGCTTGGAAAATAGAGAAGCCATGACATAGTAACATGGAAGAAAACACAAGTGAAAGCGTTGGTGTAAACAAGGGAGAGGGTTCCGGATGCCAAAGAGAGGAAAATAAAACAAGTCGGAGCTTGCACGTGGGGGACGTGTATGAAGTACCGCGACTCCAATTTTGTTCACCTGCACTTCAGAACTTGCACTTGGCTACCCTATTGCCGTTGTTGTTGACATTCATTCTCTTTCTCTTTCTATCATTATTCACTCTATTGTTATGATCATGAGATACTAAACCCCTCGGGCGGTCTCACCAAACTCTTGAGACCCTGCAGTAGCTATCCAAGATGCCCTTCCTCCATGCTTCCTTATCCTTCTGGGACCTGCTCCTATGGTGTTCTATCCTAGCAATTACACTTGGGACCAGCATTCTTCTCGTGCGTACCCTTTGCTCATACCATTGAATCAATCTAAATTGTTCATCTCTCCTAGATTCTGCTCATCACCCTCACGATCTCCCAGAATACCATTCCCTCCAAATGCCGTCCAAGGGGATCTCCTACCCACGTGTTGGTAGTCCTTGGAAGTGGTGGTCATACAGCTGAGATGTTCTACATGCTCGAACGGATGAATTTCGACCCCCAAGTCTACACGTATCGGACATACGTCGTGAGCTCCGGAGATAATTTCAGCGCAGATAAAGCCAAGGATTTTGAGGCTCAACGTGTACAGAATTCCCAGGGTATCCATAACAACCGCTACACTATTGTCACTGTGCCACGTGCCCGGCGGGTCCATCAATCCTATCTCACTGCGCCATTCTCTACGCTTCAATGCTTCTGGGCTTGTCTCAATGTTCTTCGTGGGCTTCACCCAGACCAAAAGCTCCCAAAGGAATACAGCTCGCTTTACCCGGATCTGATTCTCACAAACGGTCCCGCTACAGCAGTCTGTGTTGTCGCAGGCGCCAAACTCATTCGTTTCTTTTTATGTTTGGTCCAATGCACTGCCTTGTGTCGTGGTCTGCGAACATCCGCGTTTACATCCGCACCAAAGCTGCGCACTATTTACATCGAATCATGGGCCCGTGTGAGCTCGCTTAGTACCTCTGGTGTCCTGCTGTTACCTCTGGTCGACCGTTTTCTTGTTCAATGGCCTGCCCAGGCCGGACGACGGGCATGGTGGGGGATGAAGAGAACACAATATGCAGGATGGCTTGTGATCTAAGTGCTGTACCCTGGCTTGATCTGCTTAACCCGTCATTTGAATCTGATAATTGCAGGCATCACAAGAAACGACGTTCTCGCCAGGCACGTACCTAGGTAAGAAATGAATCGGTTAATAAGCAACGGCATCTCTGCACACACACTCAATGTAAGATATTTAGAACTCCGCAGTGTAAGAAGTCTACAATTCGTGGTGATCGGTTACAGGATCTTAGACTGTTGAATGCAGATCGGTATATCCCAACTTGGAAATAGAGTATTAATTTATGTTGTATTTAGATCACTCTACATCCATGTAGGCTTTCCCTCTAGGGCCATGCTAGCTACCGCAAATTTTATAGGAACGCCCTAGAATCAGTCTCACCCGGTAAACTTCAGTCCTTGGGCTCAGTAAGGGATTGGATGCAATTATCATGAACATCTGTTTGATGCTTAATCTACCTAAAGGAGAACTCGGCCCCTAATGTACCTACCCCGCATCGGACAGCCCGACGCAGCTTCTTCAACCTCTTGCATAGTTCACCTTACATCTCTCTGTCTTTCCTTTTTGAAACAAAGGAATTGGGCTTTATCTCATACAATTTTACTCGTCATGCCATACTCTTTGTCGGGTCGCAATGTATTGATAACCGGTGGCTCTCGGTAGGAATCTTCAATTGGAACATGAATCTATAATCCATTCAAGAAGCTAATCTCGTTTGACAGAGGGCTAGGTGCTCTGTCAGCTGAGAAATTCGCCTCGCAGGGAAGCAACATTGCTATCAACTATTTATCCAGCAAGGAGATTGCAGAGAGGCTTGCCTCGGAGATTGCAATAAAATATGGTGTAAAGGCAGTGGCCATACAAGGTGTAAGGCACTCAAGTCCATTGTACAGGGGCGATTTGAAGTTGAGCTGCTGATATAATCTTGCATCTGGAAACAGGATGCCGGAGTCAAAGATGACTGTATCAACGCTGTCAAAACCACTGTTGAGAAGCTAGGTGGCTTGGATGTTATTATCTCAAATGCCGTGAGTTAAATAGGGACTCCAAAGATGGATATTAAATGTTAACATTTGACAAGGGATGGACCAAAATGACTGATTTCGGCGATCTTGATGCCATGGACGACGATGACTGGGATAAGGTATCGACCGCGTCCTCCGTGATAAAAGCTTTGGTTTGACTGACCATTGAATCAGTGCTGGTCGGTGAATGTTAAGAGCAGCTTTTACCTATTCAAGGCAGCTTTACCCACGTTCAATGTCAACCCGGAAGGTGGTGTTTTCCTCATCACGGCCTCGATTGCGGTGAGCTACCAAAACGTGCCGGACAGCTTTGAACTGTCTACTTGTTATGGGAACGTTGAAATACTGATTGCAGGGTCTGTTCATAGGGCGCTATACCAGCTGGCAGCAGCTTGCCTTATGCTGTGTCGAAAGCAGCATGTACGCCATCATTCCGAGAGATCAGGCTATTCGACTACTGACTCTGTATCGCCCAGCTATCCATCTCATGAAGTGTCTCGCTAAGAGCCAAGGCGCGAAAATTCGCGTCAATGCTATACTTCCTGGTCTGTTGCTCACTGAATGGGTAAGTAGGGTATGATCGACACTGGCATTAACGAATTCTGAGCATATCCCAGGGTCAAGGTTTCTCGCCCGATAAAATCGAGAGCTGGAAAAATGCGACAACCCTCAAGCGAGCGGTAGGTAATCCCGGTATGTCCCAACCCTTAAAAGGACTCCGTGTGCTGATGAATCCGGCTATAGCCCGAGGTGGAGGACTGCGCGGACATGTTTGTTACATTGGCCAAGAATGCTTCTATAACCGGTCAGACTGTTCAAATTGGTATGAGTTTCAGGTTCGGCGAGTTGAGTTGAAACTGACAGTCCTTTCAGATTCTGGCTTCGGGATTTGATAGGTGAGAAATGGAATAGTTTTGGTCAGAACAGAGGTATAGTACACAGGATTTTATCGTGATTATATAAGAGAGTTGCGGAAGGGAGTTAGATCTCGGCCTTCATATTGGAATGCTCGATCACCAAACATGCGAGCTTTGATAGCAGCTCGCAGACCTTCTGCATCTTGCTCGCCTTCCACTTTCATCCGGTTGATGCGCAAAACCTTGCCGTCAACAGTAAAAACGTATAGCTGCCGTGACTTCTTTGGCTCGACAGGGTGGGAAGCATTTGTAAACGGCAGACCTGGGAGGCTTGAGAACGAGTCGCATCCCTTGGGCGGGTCGACCTCCTCGGTATCTGTGAGAATGATTCGTTTCTGTTGGAATGACAGAAGTCCATCTGCAGAACTGCTTGCACAGAGGGCCTTGCTCCAGAGAGGTCCAATCACTCGGTTGCGTCGGTTGATTTCTGCCAGGGTCCAGTTTGCCCAGTTGATGTGCCGGTCCTCTGGTGTGATTTTGGGTGCTTGTTTCAACTTTCCGGTTTTTTCAGTACCAGCATTTGCAATGGGCGGAACGAATAGCCCCTTTTCAATACTTTCCACGAGCAGTTGTGCTCCTTTAGGTGCAATGAAATCCACCAACTCGGGGACGGTGCAGGAACCTAGATTGGGGATGTCGAACCCCGGGGCCGGCGTTTGTGATAGTATCACCCCGTGATCAAAGTGTTCTGAATGCAACGTCTGAACTGTCACGCCAGTAGTGGTTTCGCCGGCGAGAAGAGTATGATGAAGCGGTGCAGGACCACGGAAGCTGATTGATAGGGTCAGTCTTCTTACTCTTCGATTCTGAACATATAACAACCACATACTTTGGTAGTAACGAGGGATGTACATTCAACCCTCCATACTTGGCCCCATTCAATATCCGCGGCGGAACAAAAAGTCCGAATGATACAGCAATCACTAAGTTTATGTGACCATCCGGGGAGGTCGGGGGCTAGTACAGTCAGCAAAGAGGCCAGTAGAGTTGGGATTTAGTAGCATGTACCGTCCATCCAGTGAATGTATCAATCTCATGGATAGGAAGCGAGAGAGCAGATGCGGCCGCCTTGAGCGGTACTGGGGAAATAGAATCAGAAGACACGACCATTCAAGGAAACGCAAGTTGAAGCTAACCTTCCCGAAACTGTTTCAGTCCTCTTCCAACTCTCTTTCCAGGTCTACAGACGACATCAATGGAGGAAATACGCTGCGGCTGTTTCAAACGATAAGCGTGGAGAGCTTTCAAATGGGCGATGCTGAATTCATCAGAGCCGCAAAAGAGGATGCGGAGCGGATCGGAGGTCTTGGTAGCATATGACCTGAAGACAAGCCCTTGAAGGACCAACGGTCTCTTGCAGAGACGTAGGCTCCCCGGGCCTGGAATTATCCACATCGTTATAGTGAGCAATCGCCAGAAGTCGAAAGGCTGTTAGGGGAGAAAGTTGAAAGTTCCATAGCAGCTTATCGACAAACCACGTGATGTCAACATCCACCCCAGATACCACTTCGGATGTATCTGTCTTTCAACCATTACCGTTGTTTCCTGTCTGGTGCGACCTCCAGACGCCATTCGACGATGCGATGCCTGAAAGCGATCATGATTCGGTGATTCCAGCCCAACTTTCGTACCTTGCCATATATAACCCGACCCTCGGACCTACCGACGAGACGATAGCGGACCAGATCGTGTTCTATACTTCGAAATCGAGCTATGCACGGCGCATCGATAGCTCCACGGTAGAAGGTGAAACAAATAAAAGCCTCGAAGATGAAGAGAATGAGAGATTGCGCCAGATAGGTCTGGCGCAGGGGATGGTCAACTTTGCTAGGTTAGTATCCCCGCAGACCCCGCAAATGAACCAATCTAATCGTGCTTGTTCTGCAGCAACTTCTCGGCTGGAAAGACACTGGAGTATGTTGAAACAGACAAAGCACGGGTCGTTCTGCTTGAGCTGGAGAAGGACTGGTGGATTGTTGCCGTAAGTAGTTGAGATAACGGCGCAGATCACAAAGCTTATGTTAAGCCAGTCTATCGACCTGACTCGAATACCCGCTGAGAGATCCCCTGGAGCATCCGACTCTCCGGCATTTTACTATTCTTCGCGAGAGATGGGACCACCGCCTCTACTGATCCAGCAATTACGTCGCGCCCATTCGGAATTCCTCCTACACCATGACTACAATTTGGACGACATCCTCCATCAAGTCGGCAGGTCCACATTTTGTTTGTTCCTGGAGCGTTTCTGGGAGAAATTTGCGTGGAATTGGGAACTTCTGTTGACCGGAAACCCAATTATCGAAATCTACAATGGCATCAAACTCTCCGCGGGAGGAGAGTTGGGGATCGGCGTCGGGGAGGAAGAGTGGGGCAGCGGGGAAAGAGAAGTACTTGAAGACTTTGTGACAAGGACAGACGGGTTGGTGGACTTGGTTGTCTCCAGGTTTGGTGATCTATCCTCACAGTTCGAGGAGTCTCCGGCTTTGACGGGGTCAAATAACCAAAGTCGATGGCTTGGGGCAGACAATGATCCTCAACCATCCGATGGTGTGGTATTTACTGGTGTCGGTGCTCTTTCTCGGCACTCATTGGTGCATGTATCACACTGGATGGAATGCATTTATCGGTTTGGCGATGCTGCGTATGGAGTTGGGCGGGACCCAACCTCGCTGCGTCGCCGCAAACCACGGAAGCAGCGTGGAAGGCGAATTTCAGAAGATGCCCCTCGGCGTTCCACATCGGATCACGATTTTAAGCCAGGTATACCTCGTCCGCTGATAACAGCAGCACCGCAGCCACCCCCGGAATTTAATGAGGGAAACCAAACAGGAACAAGAAATGAGCCACCGCCACATGGCAGCGAGCAGAACAGCGCGGACCTACAATTTCCAACAGAGGCGGTCATTAAATACCTGACTCTTGGGTATGGCTCTTCTTGGAGTTTCTCTCCAAAGTCGACACCTACGCCGCCTGAAAGTTCTACTCCAATGCGAGACGAATCCACTTCAAACACCTCAACCCCAAGGAATCAGCCCATTAGTGCTGTACAATCGCCTCAAACCGGACTAAAATATCGAAACTGCACAAGGAACAGTTCTTCGGGTCATTTTGTTCTTGGGCCTCGTGATGATCTTGAAAAATTGGACGATTTAGAAGAGCGAAGCCCAGAGCCCAAATCGGAGAACGGCAAACCCAAGACTCGAATAGTGCATAGAACGCTGTATGTGCACCTGGCAGATGGTTTAACTACTACTCCTACAAAGCTCCAAGTCGTGATATATGTGGTAGGTGCTTTCTTTTATTGTTCTTTGCAAATCAGCTCGCTAACACACCATCCCCAGCACCAACCTTTTATGTTCACATTCCTCTTTGATCCTCAAACACCAGCATTATCATCGCCATCACTATACTCAAGCATGCACCACCAACTTGGTCCTCTCCATAAACCCCTTCTATCATCAACATCTCCAACAATGGCAGCATCTCGAATCGCCGTGTCCGAGACCTCCCCGGACCCCAATAAACAGTTCTCCTCCCGGGCCCAGCCAGTCTACGACCTAGTCTACGACCCGTCTAATCTAACCATCCGCTCCTCCATCCCCAACATCCCCAGCATGAGCATGACGTCTCCCTCCGGCGAACCAACCAGCTCACCGCCCCACTCCCCATCCCCCTCCCCCTTTCAACCATCAACCCAAACACCCTGGTCCCGCATTGAAAGCCTAGCAATCCACCACCACCTCCTATCAACGCACTCAGACACGCGGTCCCGCTCGCAAGAGCTCGAACGCACGAGCAAAACCCACCGCGGATGGTGGGTCGTCTGGGTTCGTATTCCACACAGCCCAGCCCAAACCCCAACCGCGCTATCCATCACCTCTTCGTCCTTCGCCCTATCCTCCATAGCCAACAACGATGACTCATTCCTTGCAAATCAGACCCAAGCGTATCCTGTTCCTCCACCTCGGGAGGCCTTCATCGTCCGCAAAGCGAGTGACTACCTCTCCCCGGCAAGCCATGGCCGTGTCAGCAGTGGCGCTCGCTTTTTCCGTGACCTAGGCGGTGCGTCTTCTTCCGCTGGCTTGACGGGGTCCTCCCAAGCTGCGGATATAGCTCCATCGAAGTTGGTTGAGGGGCTTGGCATGGACGCTAGGCGCTATATTGAGGGTCTGCTGAGTTTGAATCGGTAGTTCAGATGGGGCTTGGTGGAGTGAAGAGTGGAGTTGTGGGGTTTCTTCTATGCATGTCTACAGAATAGGTACATAAATATGCCACCATAAACAACCACGTTTGAACATGGATATCGAGAATTTTCAGATGCTCTAGTAGTTGAAAGAATTGAAAATTTTACAGCTTTACAGCTTTACAGCCTTACAGACATTTTGCTCTGCAGGCTACAGGATTACGTATCAGGAAAGTACACGTTAGATGGAAATAGACAGCACCATGCGTAAACTGTAACATAAAAAACAAATGTAGTAAAGGAGGGAGAGAAAACAGTAAAAGCCGAATCAAGCTCTTCGCGTATGGGGAGATAACCGCAGGGGACAAGAATCTATGACACAGGGGGAACTCGGCCAGGGAAGGCAAGTCACGGCGTTGACCAAATTGCACAACCGATGCTACACTGAATGGCTTCCTCTCTTCATCTCCTGATTGTTCCAATTCTGGGTTCTTTTTTCGATGTTTTTCGGTTCGTTTATGGATGCCATCTCAACACGGCAGTTTGGCACTTGGAAATTCACGGCGTCGGAACGAGGAGAGGAAAAGAAAAAGAAAAGCCCACAGGGTTATGATGAAGACAACGCCTCCCTAGACAAATTCTGCAAATAAAGGCAAAAGAAAAACACAAGGTTGACCAGCTGAATTGTGGGGGAAACCTCCACGACTCCGGTGCTCGGATTCGATATTATCCACAATTTCGCGTGTAGGCCACGAAACCCTCCTTCTTTCCGAGAACAACGTCACCAATGGTTTTTCGTGGAGGCTCTCATACATATGATATCTGCTCGAGCCAGATCACCTCAACAATTGGTTCGTTTAGAGAATCAGGCAGCCCTTGCCCTGCTTGCGACCTCCCTTGCCCTTGACGGCCTTCAGGAGAGCAGCACGGGTGGCAGCCTCAAAGACTTCACGGACACCCTCGTTGGTGCGGGCCGAGCATTCGAGGTACTTGTAGGCACCGATCTTCTTGCGGACTTCCTCACCCTGTGGTTAAAAGTTAGCATCTAGTGGATTCACCATAGGATCAGGAAACACATACCTGGTCTTGCGAGACGGGGCGCTGGGAGGTCTTGGCAAGCTCGTCAATAGTCTTGCGGTCATCGCGAAGATCCTTCTTACAGCCGACGAGGATAATAGGAAGACCCTGGCAGAAGTGCAGAACCTCGGAGATCCACTGTTGTAGTACCGTCAGCATATTCAGTCCACTTTGCACCTAAACATTCCTTTGCTTCGGGATATGGGATTGATGGGAGAGGAGACACCCACCTTCTCCTGGACGTTGTCAAGCGAATCGGGAGAGTCCACGGCGAAACAGATCAAAATCACATGTGAGTCCGGGTATGAAAGAGGACGAAGACGGTCGTAATCTTCCTGGCCAGCAGTATCCCAAAGAGCGAGCTCGACGTGCTTGTTATCAACCTCGACATCGGCGACGTAGTTCTCGAAGACTGTAGGGACGTAGACCTGACGGAAACAAAGTCAGATTATCCGTTATGAGTGATACTTCTTCAGCGAAGGTTCCTGGGTAATGGAACTATGGTCTCGGAGATCGGAGTTTCGAATAGGATAGGAGCTTACCTCGGGGAAGGTGCCCTTGGAGAAAACACTGGGAACGTGAGTCAGACCGCCGCAGTAAAAAGTGAACGCCGAGATTGGAGGAAGCCCCCTCGAACAAGGGAGCCATATTGAGTACTTACATGAGCAGACAGGTCTTACCGCAGGCACCATCGCCGACGATGACGAGCTTGCGACGGATCTCGGCCATCTTGATAAGGAACAAGTCAGTATAGGGGCAAATAAGCAGGAATGGACCAGGGAGCCCCGCAAGTCCGAGATTTTCAAGAATGAAGAAATTCTACAGGCATGAGGGGGGGGACAGAGACAAGATGACCAAGAAGAAAGGGCGAAGTCAGGCTCCCGAGGAGGGGGGGGAAAGGAAAAGGGTGATCCCATACAGTGTTCAAAGGCGCACCGGTGTCGTAGATTTAATGCAGTAAATCAGCTAGTGCCAGCAGCAATAGCTCTAGAAAAATGAAGAAGATGGAGTAGGTATTTCCGATGGGAAGCGATGAAAAAAAGACGATGGAATGATGATTTGGAGGTGGAGGAGAGAAAGATAGAAGACCAGGCCAGACAACGGAGGGCGGTGGCAGTATCCGGTATTTGTTGCCAGTTGGTGTATCGGTATTGTGACTTTTCCCCTTTGACTTCAATGGTAAAGGTATTGACTTGTGTAGGCCACCTTAAAGATACTTACGTTGTACAACTTTGGAGTATCGGTGTATATGTATGTATGTTTGAAGTACATTCCCTTGACTATCGTGCCTACAATCTACGATGAGCACCCATATGAACCCCCTGAATTTCAGGCTACCTTTTTCTTACCTACTGTGGCTTATAATCTCTCCCCTTTTCCAAGATCAAGAGAAAATTGAGAACTTATTGGATACACGGCCCTCACAATGTGTGGCTGAGGTCCAGAAAAACCCGCTTCGTCCACATCATCCGGCCCACTTTGTCGCTCTTTGTCCACACAGCCTGCACAGCCTGCACAGCCACCCGTGGCTATAAATTTGGTGGTATCTGACCCAAAATGTGAATTCAGTTCCGTCCTCTCATGGCGCTATCTCTGCTATGGGGTGATTTGGTCGTTCATGGCTTCTCTTTGAGAGCTTGAACAAACCCAACCTAAACCGTTCATTCACCACCTGAAAAGGGAAATCCCTAGATACCTACAAAAATATCCAACGACATGCACTGCATTGAAAAAAAAAATTTAACAAGGTCTACTGTGACAATGTCTCAGTTCCATATCCTTAAGGTTCACACATGATCGTGTGCCATGCTACTGGGATCTTCTACGGACAGTCTACTACGCAGCTGCCTCTAGGGCTACGGGAAGGTAACCTTCCCCCAAAATGCTTGACCCGGCCAGTGACGATCGCTCCGGTAGTTTTCCTAATATTTCAGTTTCATTTGGAGTTGATCTGCTTCACGGGGGCTCTCAGCATGTACTGACTAACTGACTTAGGGGGAGGGGGAGGTCTCCAACGATCTCATGCTGCCTGCTGGCAAACCCCCTCTCATTTGCTGTCGCACCCAGGGGGTTCCCAACTAACTTTGAACGTGTTATCAAACCATTGGGGAAATTTTGTACCGGAATTCTTGATATTTCACTCAATTAAATCATTAAAAACCCACCCCCTTCGCTTGCTTCAGAGCTTACATAACTTCACAGCATTCTTGAAGCTGCTATTTTAAAGGTGGAGCTGATATATTGTCAGCTCCAATGATCGTGTTGTACCGGCTAAAAATAGTACACAGGGGCCAAATCCTGGAGCTTGCGCCCACAAGCCACAAGCCATCAAGTCGCTTTTTAATTGGAAATAAAATAGGAGAGCGTGGTACTTCCAAGGCAAATGCGAATTTTTTAGCGCTTTATCGATCGGCGCCAACAGAATCTATACACACTTACAACATTGATCGGTGTCGTTTCATTTGTCGGTCAAATATTCCACTGGAAATTAGGACAAGCTCGGTAGGCGTGGTGTGGTGGACTTGGCAGTCGTTCTGACCCATAAATACAGCCTCATGACAGATTTTTGTTAAAGAACAAGATTGAAGCACATCCAGACCTCGGTGACAGGTTGATCAAGAGCAATACATGCATCAGGAAAATTTTCTTACAATACGGACCTTTCATTTCCTTCTCGCATCTTAATATTGTCTCTACGCAAAGTGCCCAGCGTCTACTATGTAACCCGACTTCTCGTGCACCCACCAAGAATCGGTTTTTCGCGCTCGACTTCGGCATTTTTAATCAGCCTCCTACGGTCATCTGCTGAGATTTACGCGGATTAACTCTTAAAGCTACGATACCGCGCCGGCTCCTCTCTTCTGTGGTCTCCTAGAGTCCTATGATGAAGCACCTTCGGACAATGATCTCAAACTACGTGGCATCGGCCTGGGTTGCACTAAGCCACGTATTACTTCAAACGAGTCACAAACCTGTTCGCTGCCCTTTGGACAAGAATGAGAGTAGACTAAGCATCGATTGAATGAGCTCTACTGGAAATGACCACCACGCAGATAATTTTGTACATCTGCACCTGTATGAGAAATCCCAAACACAGATGGCTCTACATATTGTTGAGCAGTACTGCTCAACAGCCATCAGTTGTGTCTGATTCCTCTTACAAAACTCTAATCAAGGTGTGGGTCAAATACCCTTTTGATATCATGACAGCATCCGTTTCACCTCGATATGGCCTCTATGTGGGTCATGGCCCTGGAATCTCGAGTGGAATGAGCCATCATGGACAGCTGCTTATATAAGGAGGTATTCATGCTCTGGGTTTTATTGAAATCAGCATATGTTGTTGAGGCCTGTCGATTGTTCCCGGCCGTAGTAGTCGCTCTTCCGTGGGGATCATAGTCCTCTATCAACTAGATGTGGTTACGATATCAAAGAAAATGGTAAACAGGTGTCCTTTGAAACATCAACCAGCATGTAGTTACAACACAGATTGAGGGCTGGTCTAGGTATGCTTGAATGCTTGCACGCGGCCGCCGAGGGACCGGGCGGCGGATGGTGCTGACATAAAACGTACCGGCTGTGATCACGTGGTACATCGGACACCCTCAATTTTCGATCCGCGAATCGGGGATTCTGAGGTAGAGACAACGTTCGGCCATTCCTGGACCACAACACTCATTATGCAGAGAGTTATCCAACGGACCGCTTCGGCGCGGAAGCAGGCCCTCAGAAAAACCAACAAAGCTCATGAACGACAAGAATTGTTGGAACGTGTTGGGATTCAGCGGGCACGGAAGGACTTCGGCGGCGCGCTGTCTGGTCAATTCCAAGCAGCACGAAAGAACCGCTGGGAAGATTGGGAAAAGGGGCCTCTGGCTCCTATGCGAGACTCTGGTTTACAGCGCACTACATATGGTGGTCAGGAGGCTT